TGGTATGACACGCCAAAAATACAAGGCACAACTCGAGATCTCTAGTGCTTGAGTAAAGAATGCTACAAAAGAAAACATTAGGGAACACAGGACAGGGCCAACATTGTGACACAGACCACAAGAACTGTTGGGAAGCTCCACCTACTTGTGCCATAGGCTGCAAGGGAACACTGAATTCTTGATCCCCACTTCCCTCTGCTCAATCAATCTTATACACCACTGCCGGACCCGCCACCTCAAAGTGCAATTCCAATCACATTACCCTTTCCATCCAAAACTTGAGTCTCCTACAATGAATTATTTGTTTGAAAATCTCTACTTTGACATTATGTTGGTCTTCCAGCCATCTACCAGCATCCTCCTGTTATCTCTTCACTTCAAAAGTTTCAGGGTCTAGGCAGGCCTATTGCAAAACTACAGAGAGTATGAAGAAGAGGCAGGACTATCTAAAGACGTTCTGATTATAAATGGAAAAAGAAATATTGTCAAAGTAAGTCTATAGTCCCCAGTAAACCTGCTGGGCCTCCACACTGCAAAGGAGGCCACAATAAGCCCTTTTCTTAGCACCATTTCTTTCCCTTTCTTTTTCCTTGGACTTCAATGCTCATAAACCCACATCTTCACCTTCAAGGCTGATCTTCAATCTTCTTCCTCTAAGAAGCCTCCCAAATCTTCTCAAACCAGATATAATCTACCCTTTCAAGCTCCATAGCTTTGGCATTTATATTACTGTTGTTTAAAAATAATAATGTATGCACCTAAATTATGTTCTTTACGAAGCAGAAAGTTCCTTTCAATTAGAGAATTTCTTTCTCATCTCCAGGTACACTGTGTTAACCCTGTTAGGCACTCAAAACATTTATAATAATCTAAAATAAAAACGCAACCTGAGAGAATAGTTTTTAAAGTACTGCTTATGAGTTCCTTATAATCAATATGAGGCATAGAGTCATGTGCACATAAAATGACTTTTTACAATAGTCCCACGGGAATTAAATAAATGGCAAGACAGTCTATGTGGTAGTGCCAAGTAAATGGTATACCAGCAGAACATAGCATCAGTTTCAGAGGAATGTGTGAGACCACTGAGGACTGGGCTGGACAGTCAAGGCTTTGGGAGGTGGGATGAGATGGTACCTGAGCTAGGGATTGAAGGCTAAAGAGGGTCTGGATATATAGGATAGCAAAGAAGGTATTTCAGGACAGAAAGTTCTGATGTGTGACCATGACAAATTCACCTAGCCTCTCTAGGTGAAGGTTCTTATCTGCATGATGGAACCATCTAAGTGGATAATCTCGAAAGTCTAATTTCAACAGTATGGAAAAAGGCATAGTGCATGGTGTGTTTGGAGACAATACGTCATAGAAGTTAAAAGTGTGGGTACAGAAATCAGACAGACCTGGGTTGGTCCTGGTACTGCCACTTCCTGCATGTATGACCTTAGAAAAGTTGTAGAACTTATTTAGACCTCAAGTGCTTCGTCTATAAAATGAGAATGATACAAATAATACATACTCCATTAGGCTCTCAGAGGATTAAATGAGATAATGCAGCAAAATACTTTGTACAATAGCTAGCTTTTTTAAATGCACAGTAAAATCTAGCTATTATTTTTATTATAAGAAATATGCCTATTTGGGAATCTATAAGATCACTGAGTTAGACTCCTCCTAATTTCCCAGAACTTAAAGCTAAGGACCAACAACCAACAACAAGCACATTCTGAAAACCCTTGAAACGTCAGACACTCCTTAAAGGCTTTCTAGAGATAACTAAGCTACGTTATCTACCTACAACCATTACCCAATGGCAATCTACGCTAGAAGAATGTGCAGTGGTGTGGATAGAGGAATGGAGGAAATATCAAAAATGTTAAGTCAACTGCCAGGGCAAGAGTTTCATAATATTTTCCTCTCTCCTCTCCATAAAAGGGGGAGGAGTGTTTAATCTTCCCCAAAGGCCAAGTGAGGTGGCCTCCAAGAGATTTACTGAGTATATAAGGGTAACTGATTTTTTATCTCATGATTGGAAGTACATCATATTTAATATTAGATGATTTGCCTTTGAAACCTCATTGAGCTGAGAAGAGGACGGGGGACATGGGGATAAAGAAGGGATGTGGCTATAGAGCAGCTAACAACCCCACAATTCGGTAAGGAAAACATAAAAGGCACTGACAATGAGTTGATAGTAGAGAAACAGAGACAGCCACAGAAAGATTACAGTGGCCACTGTAAAGAAAAAAGGACTCCCCCTTTCTCTTTAACACACCAAAGGATCTAGAACCAGGGAAGGAAAATAAAGAGGAGGGCAAGAATAGGCAATATCCTACCATCCTGAACATCTCCAGGACACAGATTAAGCCTATTAAATGGAAGGGAGAAGACAAAAGTAGAATTTTATTTATTTATTTTTAATTTTTTAAATGTTTATTTATGTTTTGAGAGATAGAGAGAGAGTGTGTATGAGCAGGGGAGGGGCAGAGAGAGAGGGGAAGACACAGAATCCGAAGCAGGCTCCAGGCTCTGAGCTGTCTGCACAGGGCTTGAACTCTCAGACTACAAGATCATGACCTGAGCTGAAACTGGACACTTGACCAAATGAGCCACCCAGGTGCCCCTAAAAGTAAAACTTAAGAATTGCACTAGAAGGGACTTTATAAGAACTAGACTGACCAAAAAGCCATGGAACCTGATGGGCTTGTCTTTTAAAGAGCTTTAGCTTGCTGAAGAAAGTGACTAGAGAAAATATGATTTCTCCCCAGCAAGGGTGTGTGCCCCCGACAAGGTCAGTTATAGGTATAATCAACCTAGAGGAACAATAAGATGTTATATTGCACAGGTAAGCTGAGTCTAGATTATAAGCATCTTGAATTATTAGCATTTGAAATTTATACTGAAGGTCATGGAGAACATCTAAGGTTTGGCACCAGGTCAGTGCAGACCTTCATGGGGATTAATTGAGCTGTAGTGTGTACGGTAAATTAAAGATGCAGAGCCTAGAGACATGGAGCCTGGAGAGGAAGTTGTTACAATAAGTCTGATGACTCATAGTCACTGGGGCTTACACCCATGTGATGACTACTGAAATGGAATAGAAGGGACAGACAGTAATGATGTTTGGCACACACAGAATTTAAAGATCTTGGCAACCATCTAAATCTGGAGATAACAATAAAGGATAACTAACTTGATTTAAGGCTTTTGGACTTAATCATGATTACCATCATCCACTACTAACACCACCACCTCCCTGCATCTTGTATTGGAAAGAAAGAAAAAATAAGCTATGAATGGTAGTCATTTTAAGAGAAAATATGAAGAGAACAAGGTGGATGGCCCACAGTGATTTCTCCTTTCCAACTCACAAAATCTTTACTCCCAACCCTACAACTTCCTGCCAATGCTGCTGTTACCATCACCACTTGTTCTCCCTGATCTTAGAATAAAGCTGGTGTAGCAGGATGGAACTTACTGAATGCTGAGGCAGAGATAAAGGAGATACATGGCTCGGTAGGACATTTGACTGTGAGTCCAGAAACATGACCAATGAGCCAGATTTCCTGAAGCTTAGATCAGAGGACAGTGTGACACATCACAGTAGCTGCTCTCTGTGGGTTCCCTTGAAAATTTTTGGCTTCATCCACTTCACACACCCACTGTATGGACATTTCCAACACTACCAGCTGTAGAAACCAGCAGCAGAGGAATATTCCCCTCACATATTTTTTGACGGGTAAAGAGGTGCATAACTACAAGTTGAAGAATTAAAGCATCAGCACTCAACTCTGTAATAATAACTCTCCTAACTTAGCAGGTTGATGTTGGGGTAGGCCATTTTACATGTTTGCTATAATCAAGATGCTTGGTGAAGAAGAAACGACACAATGTCACTGTTTCCCATTTCCAGAATTCACAATTTTAGACCTGAACCAAGGTCACAGGCTCAGACCTAGGGAACCTCATGGCCATCTGCTGCCACCTCCCAATTTCATCCATTATTCAGTCATTCCAAATATATTTATTAAATGCCTAGTTGTGCCAGGCCCTGTGATCTCAACTGGATATAGCAATAAACAAAATAGATCTGCCCTCAAGGAGTTTATAGGCTTGTCAAGAATATATCAAAGACATAAAGCATAATGTTATATCTGATTCAAATGACCAGAGGTTCTTCTGGGAGTGATCAGCCAGCACAGATGCAAAGAGTCAGAGAATGCTTTCCAAAATTCAGACATAAGCTAAACATAAGGGAAGAGGAGTGCGCCAGGGAGAAGCAAGAATTAATATTCCAGGCACATGCAAATTCTCCAAGGCAGGAAAAAACATGGCTGAACATGGCATGAGCATATAAGGTCAGTTAGTATTAGTGGGGACTAGAGAAAGGAGGGGGTGGGGGCCGACCAAGGAAGTGGGGCAAAAATAAGGAGGTCAGAAAGACATTCTAGGAGCCATATCATAAACAAGGGCATTTGTAAAAGGATTTGATGAGGAATCCGAGCCGTCAAATATATTTGGTGAGGCAGGTAACTGTGAAGGTTAAATGAGAATGAGTTAAAGGGGAATATGATTGGCAGCTGGGAAGCCACCTGGGGAGAACAGGGATGGCTTCTGGTAGCAGAGCTGGGAAGAAAGGAATAGATTCCAACACTGGTGTCGAGAATGATTTGCAGGCCTCAGTCCTAATTATATGTGAGACATGAGGGAAGGAACAGAGTCATACTTGAGTAGATATATGTCATGATGGTTCAGAGCAGAAGCTCTAGTTCTCCCACTTATTAACTCTGTGGCTTCGGCCAAACTTAAGTCCCTATCCCTTCATTCGCTCATTTGTAAAATGGCAATAATGACAAGACCTGCGTTATAGAGTGGTTATGAAGATTAAATGTGGTAATGCACATTATGTGCTCAACTATCACCTGGCACATATTAGATGCTCATGTCATTTAGGATACAGACTCACTTGCTACAAGAGAAACCCCCAGACCATGGTGGCTTACATACGACAGAATGCATTTTTCTTAGATTCAGGTGTGAGCACTTCTAGGAAAGCAAGCTGCAAGGCCACAGGCTCTTGATCTTGTTGCTCTGCCATCAGTGAGCTGATGCATTCATGCACATGGCTCATGACATTTCCATTCCAGCTAGTGGGGGAAAAAAAAGGAAAAAGAAAAAAAAAGGTTAAAAGGAACAGCATGCACAGCTAAAATTCAGGAGTTGTGTCATTACAGAAAAGAAGAGAACGCACATCAGGGGACAGTTAGCAGCTAGCAACATTCGATGTACATCAGTGTTATATAAAGATAGAAAATAACTGTTTGAATGAGGAGACTAATGGGAAAAAAGGGGAGACCTGGTGAACTAAGACATAAAATAGCTCAAATGTTTTGTCTAAATCCTTCTCGAATGAAAATTTGATCTCCATGTAATAAGGATAGCAAGAGAATTAGTTAACATATTTGGAACAAAGCTACAGGAACCCCCAAATATTATTAAAGAACTGTTTTATTTTTTTAAATGTTTTTGGTTTATTTCTGAGAGAGAGAGAGAGAGACAGCGTGAGCAGGGGAGGGTCAGAGAGAGGGAGATACAGAACCTGAAGCAGGCTTAAGCTCTGAGCTAGCTGTCAGCACAGAGCCCGACGTGGGGCTCAAACCCACGAACCATGTGATCATGACCTGAGCTGAAGTTGGATGCTTAACCAACTGCGCCACCCAGGTGCCCCAATGAACTGTTTTCTAGGAGAGGAGAAAAATATCCTGATATTCAGGTAAAAATGAATAAGCTCATAAGGGAGTCATTATGGATTCCTCTTTTTATAAAGCAATGTATGACATGGAGTAAAATAATGATTTTCTTCTACTCATGAAATATCTCCACAAAAAAAAACCCAAAATCATGAATGCTTATACCAGTGTATGAACAACTGTTTTTAGGTAGTTCATTACCTATGTGGTATCTTACCTGAGACTAACAACCTAGAAACAAGTGGCACTGGCCCCTTCACGATTACAAAGGTTTGTCGCCTCCATGTAGTGGTCCTCTGTGACTGTAGGAACCGTTGGTCACCCACTGCACTAAAAATTTATAATTTTCAAACCCCAAACTCTGACTGAAGATCTTTATCTTGGATCCAATATGGTGGACTAACAGTTACCTTTCTGTCCTTAAGATTATTCTTGTTATTAAATCTGGGTCTCAGTGAAGTCTCTATAGAAAATCTCACTTTTTATATACATCCTTGAGTAATGGAATTGAGTCTATTATTCAGAATCTATCTTATTTTCATCTCTCCAGACTATAGGGGTCATTTTTAGCTCTTTACGGTTTGGCCAGAAGCAAAATCAACCATCCTAACTGCCTATGGTCTTAACAAGAGAAGATATATGACTTTTTGTGGATAGGGCACTTTCCCAAGCAAGAATACCTTGTACATTAGGCAGAGAGAAGGACTCTACTGGGGCAGCCTGCACACACTATGAGGTCTCCCTGAGCGCCCCTCTTCTGACCCCTGAAGCACAGTTAACAACATAAGCCCAGCATTCAGCCTCCAGTTCCAGGAAAGATAGCCCAGGGCTTAGATGAATCATTGTACCTACAGTTTTTTATTAATTCTTTTGTTATTAAGAACTGCCAGTCCAAATGCCCTCTAGCTGCATTTTTTGTGTGGAACAATACAATCATGTAATACAATTTTTCTGCCCATTGCTACTGAAGTGAGATTGCATTGAAATGTCCTCCACCCTTCCCTGCCTACTGCAAATACAGTCAGGTGCTCAGTGGAGATTTCTGGGGATTAGAGAGCAGCAAGTTGGCCATTTTCTATTCAGAGATAGATTAATGTGACAGAGGTTTGTAGTATAACCTTGAACGAGGAAAAGACTGCACCTTAGCAAAAGACTGTAGGCATTATTATTTTACAGGAAATAGAATTTAAGTCATGTTAATGGGCAGGAAGGAAATCAATCCTCACAGTGGCAAGGTGTATTTATTCTCAGACACTTTAGAAAAAAACAACCACGATCCACAGAACCAATGCTCTGCCCCCATTCCACCCCAACCCTCCTTCAACGACTCATAACTTTCCGGTCTGCAGTTTTCTTCAGAAGAGAAAGCCATCAACTCTCAGTGGATGCCTTGAGGTTTTGGAATTACTAAGGAACTAGTTCTAAAGTGATTTTTGTTAATCCATAGAGAAGTAGGGGCACTGGACAGGAAGGAACATAAGAGGGGCTTAGGTGATGAGAGCAACTGCATCAAAATTAAGCACTGTTAATATTTTACCCAGTAAGTAAAAATTATATTTTATTGTAGTTTTAGTTTTCATTCCTAGTACTACTACAGATGACCATATTTTCTCATGTTTATTGTTCACTTTTCATTTGCAGTCTTCTGTAACTGCCCATTCATATCCTTGGGTTTCCAGCCCGATGTTAAATAATAGATAATGGTAAATGTCTTTTTCCTAAATTTATAGGAAATTCCTCTAGTGTTTCTCAATGAGTATGATTTCTGCTGTTAACTGCTGATTTAAAAAAAACTTTTAAAATTAAGCATATTTCCTCTGATTTACAAGTTACTAAAGATGCTCCTCAGAAATGGAAGTTAAACTTCATCAAAGGGCCTTTCTAGCATCTATCATATACTTTCTCTCCTTAATTATTGATGTAGTGGATTATTTCAATAGATTTCCAAATGCTGAGCCATCTTTGTAATCTGAAATATAGCACAGTGTTGTTTCAATATTGTGCTAGATTATTTTAGATGGCTATTACTAATATTTTTGTTTCTATGTTGACATAGGGGATAAGTCTGCAAATTTCTCTTTTTTGGTGCTCTCCTCCAACATTTTTGGAACTAGTAACATCCCATTTTCATAGTATGAATTACTAATTTGTATACTTTCATCTATGTTTTGCAATAGCTTTAATATCTCAATTTTTTGTGCCTTACAAGTTGAATTGGATTTGCCGACCAAATATCTGGATCTGATACCTATGGGTCAGGGCTGACAAGGGTAGAGAGCTCTTTGATTTATAGTTTCTAATTATTCTTTAGAGTTTCTTTAGTTATAGTTTCTAACTATTCTGGAGGAAAAATTGCTAATTTTCTTCAGGAAAGGTATTCATTTGAGCTATATTTTCAAATTTGTTGATATAAATGTATAGTTAGTATTCATTTAAAATGGTTAAATTTCTTCATAATCTGAGTAAATACTTTCTCATCATTGATGTTGCGTATTTGTGTTGTTTAGATTGTCTCTTTAAAGAAATAGCTCTGAAAAGAAAACAATAGCTCTGAAGATAAATATTTTCTTTTCCATTTCACTAATATATGCTCTTATCTTCATTAATTCCATTATTCTTATTTCTTTAGTATTGCAACTTACCAGCCTTCTGAGGTAGAAGGTATAGCACATACATTTTGAATTGTTTTGCTTTCCAAAAATAGTTTTAATACATTTTATTCTTAACTGCTATTTATTTATAAACATTAACTTACTGTTATAACTGTGATTTAATAACATCATAATTTCAAAGTACTAAATAGGAATAATTGAAAAGCTTTCATTACTTCCCTTGCTACCACATAGTTTTGGCTTGCCTCTTTAACTTGAGTGTTTAGAAGAATTTCTTTTAAAAATGCTTTCTATGTGGTTATTTTACTGTCTTCCTTTACTTTGTTGTTTTACCATCTTTTAGTCATTGATTTCTTGTTCTGTTGCTGTAGTTTCAGGATTTCCATGTTAGGGGATGTATTGACATTTTTTTCTTTTGGCCTAATATATAATCAATTTGTGTGTGTGTGTGAATGTTTTATAGTCAACTTAATTTTAAGTGGAGACAATTTTTAGCAATTTTCTATATTTACAATTCAAATGAAATGAAACAGACACATAGAAATATAATTTTAGAAACAGATTTTCAAAGCTATACCAAGAAAAATATAGCCTGAGATTTAAAACAGATTTTGATAGATCATTAAATTATGGAGCTCAGCAGTCCCCAAATCTGAGCCTTCATCGTCCTTCCTACCTAAGTCACTGTTAGGGACTGAACAGTGTCCCCCAAAATTCAAAAGTTGAAGTCCCAGTTCTTAGTACTTCAGACTGTAGCTCTATAAGGAGATGAGTCCTTTAAAGAGATGACTAAGTTAAATGAGTCTCTTAGAGTGGGGACCTAACCCAACAGGACTGGTGTCCTTACAGGAAGAGACACCAGGAGTGAATGCACATGAGAGGACATATTGAGAAGACGGTCATCTGCAAGACCAGGAGAGTGGCCTCAGAAGCCTTGAGCTTGGACTTCCAGCTTAGAGAATTGGAAGAAAACAGTTTCTGTTGTGTAAGCCACCCACTCTGTGATACTTTATTATGGTAGCCCTAGCAAACTGATACAACCATTCATAGGGCACAGTTCCCATATACCCTTTATAACTGAGACCAAATGCATTTGTTACTATCAGCCACACCTGCACCACTGCTTTTCTTAGGGTAAAGAAATACTTCTTAGTATTCATGTGTTTATCAAACATTAAAAAAAAAAAAGGTCCAAAATAGATTTTACTCATTATGTAACTTGTCTGTTCCCAAAAGATATTAACACATTCCTTTACTTTGCTCATTCTTTTCTTTCTGTTTAAAGTTTATTAGCCTCACAGCTGAACAAACAGGTCACTAGCTTGTCCAAGGCTATGAATTCAATCTCCTAACTTTTGGTTCCACGTCACTTCCCACTCACAGAACTACTCATTTCAAAGACTTAAAGATTTGTCTAAAGAATTTACTTTTCTCTCCAACCCTACAAATATAATTTTATAAGCAAACAACTATCCTTCAAGCTTTTGTGAAAATGAACATTTCTGAAGCCCAGAGGTCTGATATCTTTTCATCTAAAAGGAAGCAGGATTACTTTAAAACAACACAATCTAGGAGGAGGGTATTTTTCAGGCATGTCTATACCTACAATTCTGAAAATGCTATTGGTTTATACAGCTAAATCCTCTTTTGGTGAAAAACAGAATTTCTTAGCTCTGAAATATTTAAAGACATACCCAAGGCAGAAAGAACATTGAAAGTTTAAAATTGAAATTCACTTGCTACAGGAACAGCTCGAGGCCTGTATTACCTTCAATATTCCTTTGACTGAAAGCCATTATATAATTTCACAATAAGTCTTTGCACTATAAATCACTGGAACTCATATTTAGTAGCTTTCCTTTGAAGGGACTGAAATGAGAATGGGATTGAGAAAGAGTGAACAAGAGAAAAGGCATTTGTTGTTTTTTCCTGTTTAACATAACTTTTATTATTTTTTACTTCTTCCAGGTCCATTCAAGATAATGCAAATAGGTAAAAAGAAAGAAGATGTCCATCTATAATCTTACCAGCCCCAGTAAAAACCAATACTGCTAATTCAATGTACATATATCCGATTTTATACAGACATAAATATTATTTTTAACTGCAATTGTTTGAATTGTATTGGTTGCATGTCCCTAGAAGAACTGTGGTAGGATTTGAGTGCTAGTCATTCACCTGAGTGAGGACATCAGGAAACACAGGCAGAAAGGCAGAAAAGTGAGACAGGGAAGACAAAGCAGCCAACAGAAGGTACATTACCTGGGAAGTCATCACTGTGGATTCCTGGATCTGATCCCAATAAGGAACTCTGGGAGTCAGTACGGAGCACTGTTCTCAAAGTCACCTCAGCAAAAGAGTGAATAACCTGGGCAGTTTGTACATGACCTCCATCAATTACTGGGCAAGTGCTCATCCAGGAGCATTATTCTTTAGCACTTCTGGCCTGCTAAGCACATGGACAAAGAAAACTCAGGCAAAGAGAAGCAGATGCTGGCAATGAAAAGTCAAGCAAGCATCCACTGAAATAGTGAGGGTGAAGGTATATGGCTGTGACACACACAGCATCTACCACAATTCACATGTTGTATGGTAACCTGTGGCATTTACATATTATACCTTGAATTTCTCATATGACATTAAATAGTCTGAGTATGATGTTAATTGTCATTCTTTTTGTCTGCACATTAGGCTATTGAGGCACTACATCAACCTCTGTTGACATCTGGGGTTTCTATGTTTCATTTTAATATACTGATTGTGACAAACATTCTTATATTGAAATATTTTATGCAACTATAGACATATTATTATTATAAATAGATACACTTGAAATCACTGCTCCAGCTCCACAAGATATGCAAAATTTTATGGCTTTTGATTTGCACTGCAAAGTTGCTCTCTGGAAAGATTATATTAAGTTACACATTAACAATGTGTTTTATTTCTATTGTTTTCTGCCCAGTATTGACCAAAAGGGACAGGGCTGCCCCAAAGGGCCATCATGGTGATGGTGGGATGGGTATGCTCTAACCCAAGTGGGTGTAGAGGACAGAACATTCAATCAGATGATTTTCTCCAGCCTTAAGATCTAATATAATTTGCCTTTTAGGTCTTGGACTTGCTTGCAATCTGTTACCCCTTTCTTCTCCCCATTTCTACTTCTTGGAATAGGAATACCATCGTATTTTGGAAGCACATCACTTGTCTGGTTTCACAGGTTCAGTGAGAGGAGAATTTTGCCTTAGGAGCTGAATCTTGAATCTCACCTATATTTGCTTTAAATGACACTCAGATAAGGTTTTGGACTCTAACAGACTTTAGAGTTGATAAAAGAATGACTTAAAAGTGTTGGAGCTGTTGAGATGGAATGAATGTAATTTTCCTGGGAAAAGGACATGAATTTGAGAGGGTGGGTGCTATACAATGAATTGTGTCCCCACATACTGAAACACTGAGGGTGGGATCTTCAGGATGAGATTAGCACCCTTCTAAGAAGAGACTTAGAGAGCTTTCTGTCTCTTCCTCTACCATGTGTGGACACAGCAAGAAGGTAGCTATCTTCATGCCAGCAAGAGAGCTCTCATCATCACCTTACTAGGGTGGCACTCTGATCCTGGACTTTCCAGCTTCCAGAACTTTTAGAAATCAGTTGTTTAGGCCACCCAGTCTATGGTACTTTGTTACAGCAACCTGAGCAGACTAATACATGTGGTTTAATTCCAGGTTTGATATTTGATGCCTCCTAACTATGTACTGACAGGCACAGATATACCAGGTGAGAACAAAGTTGAAAGCACAAGATAGCAGAGCTGGTAGGATGTGGGGAGCAAGCGTAGGTGAACCCTGACTGATGCAAAGCAGGAGACAGCACAGGCCAAGGCAGATATATTTCCCCCTTTTAACTCTCTTCCATGCACTGAGGTGGGATTCCTGCTTACAATCTTCTGGGAAGTACTGAATGTTAAGCAAACATGTCCACTGAGCAACCTGTTAGGTCCATTCCACTCACTCTGCTCCTTGCTTCACTTCTTTTTCTTTATCTTCTTACCACACACACATGCTTGTATCTCTTCAGGCAGCAACACTTTGCTCCTCAGGCTCTCCTTTCTAAAGGATCAATGTTAACAAACATACTTCTTATTAAGATGCTACATTTTGATTGAAAAAAAAGTCCAAAAAACTTCCAGAAAACAAAACTATCATGTGTAAAACTACTGAATTGGGTCATTTTATGTCTGAGATGGCGATTCAGATACTATTATCTTTTTGAAAGGAAGCAATAAAGTTTTCAATCATACCTTTGAAAAAACCATGGGCTAATAATAATACACTTAAATATATTTATATTCAAAACTATATTCAATTAATGTGAATTAATGCCGAAGTATAAATTTGATGAGAAGTCTCAACTATAGAGTTCTTGAGCATATTCATTTTGCTGTTTATCACGGACACAAATTTATTTTAAAAGAATTGAGCTGAATGTGCAAATAAGAGGAAATGGAGAAATTTATATATTATATAAAAAAACAAGATTTAAAGTGATCTTTCTTTAAATAATGTAAAGTATTTCTATCTTACAGAGAGTGTTAAAATGTATTGGCAACATTAATTTTCACAAAGATAAATCTGTAGCCCTACATTTTGGTTCAGGAATCCCAACACAAACTGGATAAAAAGAATCTATTTCAGCAGCAAAGATTAAATCTAGGGATTTCTGTATTACAAAACTAATGTGAACATCTTTCAGGATCTAACCCAATCTTATGCTGTGTTAATAGGAGTACTTTGTCCAGATGATCAAAAAGAAATGGTCAACTATTTTTCAGGAATGTTGTGACCAGCTCCCGAAGCTGGCATGAATCAAAACCCTGTGAAAATAGGGGCACCTGAGTGGCTCTCAGTTGGTTAAGCGTCCAACTTTAGCTCAGATCATGATCTCTCAATTTGTGGGTTTGAGCCCCGCATCTGGCTCTATGCTGACAGCTCAGAGCCTGGAACCTGCTTCTGATTCTGTGTCTCCCTCCTTTCTGCCTCTTCCCTGCTTGCACTCTCTCTCTCCAAAATAAATAAACATTAAAAAAAAACAAAACACGGTGAAAATAGTCAATATATTTAGGAAAATTCAGCCTAAAAGATTAAGGTCCAAAAAATACATTATTTGAAGAGTGAATGGTTGAAAGGACTAACAACTATCTTCAAATAGTTGAAAGGTTATTATTAGAAAAAAGATACAGAGTTGCGGATTTCAGGTCATTCTAGGAGGGAAATTTCCAATGATGATGCCCAACAACAGAATGAGATAACTTATATGGCAATGACCTCTCCATGACTAGGAGTGTCAAGATGGAGGTTGGATGAGCATTTAATTCAGACATCATTATTCTGCATTGTGGGTGGCATGGTGGAACATGACTGCTATGGTTCCCTTCACTTTGAAGTTATCCGCTAGAGGATACTCAAAACACTTTTTATTTTGAAATTTTGAAAATTTCAGGTCATTCAACCTATAAAATATCATTTAAATCATATCATCATGTGAATCTCACCTCAGTAAATTGTGTTTAAAAACAATAATTATAGGAGCACTTGGTTGGCTCAGGTGGTTAAGTGTCCAGCTTCAGCTCAGGTCTTGATCTCACAGTTTGTGAGTTTGAGCCTCACGTCAGGCTTGTGCTGACAGCTCAGAGCTGGGAGCCTGTTTCTGATTCTTTGTCTCCCTCTCTCTGGTCCTCCCCAGCTCATGCTCTGTCTCTCTCAAAAATAAATAAACATTAAAAAAAATTTAAAAAATTATAAAAAAACCCCACACGTTTTCAAAGCTTAAGACAACTATGTTATATAACTGAATAAAATTTGTTCTTATTTTAAATGTCATTGGTGACAAGGAATATTTAATATCCAGGAATAGAAGACGGACCATGCTGATATAACTAGCAGAACTGAACTTTGATTTAGGTAGGGGAAAATATATCTGAGGGTTTTTTTTTTTGTTTTTTTTTGTTAAATCAAAGCTGGGGCTATTATTGTTAGGGTGGGAATTCCAAGGGGCAGGAAGGTAGCATAGGGCTTCTTCACCCTAAATCAGCAGAGAATGATAAAACCAAGGGAGTGTGCACGGCCCAAAACTTTTAGAGAAAACCTAGGTCTCCAGAGCCAGGGGAGGAATTAAAAGGATTATGCATTGGGAATACAACACAAACAGTTATCAGGAATGAGGTGTGGAGCCAAGAATCTGGACAGGAAGATAAAAAGAGGGTGTGGGTAATACCTAAAAAATATGTTTCCTTGATATCCATTTAGATAAAAGTTTTCTGAACATGAGGTTAGAATTCATGGCATGAAAAATGAAAAATAAATATGAGAGAGAGAGAATTTGTTTTAGGAACTGTTCTCAAAGACTACTTCTGTATGAGATTATAACCATCTAACCATCTGTTTTGTTTTTTGTTTTTTTTTCCTTTTGGGGGGAGGAGCTGTTTATATATCCTCTTTCCGAAATACTGATAATTGTAAATAATTTCATTTTGATTTGTTTAACACTGTCATTGGCAATAGGAAATACTAACAAACCAAGGTCAATTTCTTCATTTGTTTTCCTTTTAATTTCACCAGTCTGTGAAATTTAAAATCTGGAAACAATTGGCTCAGACCATCCATTCATGCTTGCAATTTGATTTTGTGAGGCAAGCCAGGGTAATATGCTAAGTTTGATTTGGAAAAAAAAAAAAAGTTTGAAAACAATTCATTTTGGCAAATGCACTCAATAACTATACACATTAATGCCTTCATACCACACAACTAATGTCTAAATATTCAAATTTTTTAAATAACTCAAGATATTATAAAAACTATCTAGAGTTCTTCTTAATTTTTTTCTCTCTTTATTAACAGCTTTGACGAATGCATGATAACTTTAGTGTTCTGTAAGTAGTATGTGTTCATTTGCAAAATACAAATAAACAAAAAGGAAAATCAAAGTTAATAATATTTTATATTAAATTTAGCAGACTTCAAATATTAAACAACATTACCAACAGACATTTCTAAACACATATAAAAGCTTCTTATATTATTTCATTCAGTCTCAAATAAAATATATCTATGGCATAAAATTACAGTTTGAATCAAGAAACTATGACTGTACCCTGCTGGGTATTTATTCAAACCAATGTATCAATTCTTTTGAAGATTAAAATAAATCATGAATATGCACTCTATGCATATTTACACTTGTAGAATTTAAGAGGTAGTACATCGGACATTAGACCACAGACAAGCTTATTTTTCTGAGGCTGTTTCCAAATCTCATTATGAGAAGAAAAAATGAGATAATGGATAACATACAACTTTGTTGTTTTTATCCCTGAAAATTTTATCAGTCATATCAAAATACTAAGATGAAATCAAGCATAATTTAATGTAATAATATTCTCAGGCAAATGATTCAAACTGCAAATCAGAATCTTATAGTGTTTTATTTACATTGCTATCTTTAACTTTCACTGTGGAAACATGCTATAAAACAGAGTTTGGATTGATAGAATAGTAGATAATATATTGTCTAGTCTCCTTTCTATATAAGAACTAATATTATAGATGTACATATCAAAAATGAAGAAATTAAACATGAAAATATGATATATAACTTTCATATAAACCATAAAAACAGCCATTTCTGCAAGAGCTAAGATAGAAACCCCAAAATAACGTGTGTCATTTTCTTATATTAACATGTTCCAAATTAAGAAAGCAGCATGTTAAGTGTAAATCTTAATTTATGAACTGCCTTTGGGAATGAAATAAATTCTGGGTGACTAAGTGGTTTTAAAAATAACTTTGCATTCATTATTTTAAATAATGTGAAGAAAACCTTCATGCCACATACTTTCAGCCTGATAATATGTCACCCAAAAGAGCTGGTTTATCATGTAACATTTATATGCAATCATTTCATTTTTCATATGATTTTCCTCCTAATCCTCTGCCAAAATCTGAGGAAGAAATGGAACGGTTTCTCTGCACAGCTTTCCCCCAACAGACTGCCATTGCCAGCAGCAGTAGGTTAATAATAGATGCTCAGTGACAGAGTACTATTGGTGTTTGGCAGCACAGGGCCTGAGGTTAACACAAGAGGTCACTTAGGGTCATTCTGCTCAATAAATCTACAGTAACATTTTGCTAGATCTCTCTTCCATGGAGTTTGAAAAGTTTAATGTCTTCTCTCAGATCTCTGAAAATTCCCAGGAATTTTCCCAAATCTGATTCTGGGCTTCTACTCCTAATTTTAGCTCAGTTTCTACCTCTTGTATGCTATTTCTGTTCTGCCCAATGCTGATACAGATGTGGAAACCAACACTTTTCCTTAATTCTGCAAAATTTATTCAGTCATTTACTTTTGAGTCTCTCTCCTAAAGATTTGAGATACTAGAGGTGTTTATATCACAGAAACACAAATAACATTCAATATTAGGGAGTCTTTTTTCTTAAATACCTCCTCCTTCCTTATCCTTTCCCTCTTCCTTCTCCTCCTTCCTTATCCTTTCCCTCTTCCTTCTCCTCCTTCTTATCACCAATTCCTGATTTTTAAAAATCTGTAAACCTGAGCTCCAGCCTCCCAGCATGCTATGTTATCCTCCATTCTAGCTTCCATTTCCCCTCTTTTATATTATTTCCTGCCTTCTTTGATCTTTAAGCAAGTAAAATAGAAATAGCTCATTTTTTAATACAGATTAGTTCAAATTCCTCTTAACAACACTGCTCAAGACAGTAACTATAAAAGCAACATCAAAGTAATTCATTTAGGACTCAAAAGGTGCTTCTCAGTTTAAAGTCTCCCATCTAAAATTCAAAATTACTTGGACTAATCAAACCTTAAGTTGCTATAATTCAAATATCCTCTGCTGCATGACCATGATGAGGAATAAATCATCTGGGCATGACTTCAGGCAAGCAGCTTCTATCAAATACACACATCTGAGGGAGCTGGAGGTATAAGCCACAGCACGGCAT